TCTCGTATGAAATGTCTTTTCAATTGTGAGACATGAGCCTTACGAACTATGACTCCTGTGTCGGAATTAGCCAGCAAAACCTTTACTGGGGACACAAATCTTGCAATTTTCAAGGGGACGGACCATCTCAGGTCCAATTTAGCGGAACGCAGCCTTGATCTAGAGCTGAGTGGGTGTAGCCTAAGCAGGACCAAATCACCCACTTGAAAATCTACCCACCTCCTAGCCAAATTGTATCTTTCAGGCACATGAGCTCGAGTCTTCTGCAAATTATTCAAGGCTACCTACCAGAATTCACGGATATCCTTAACTTCCCCTTCCATATCTAGCTCGGTGAATTTACATTTTAAGCTTAGGGAATGGTTCAACTACTTACCTAAAAACAGCGAAGCAGGAATCGCGGCAGTCGACTCATGCCAGGCCGTATTAAAGGCTGGAGCCAAGGATGGCAAATGGTTGTCCCAATGAGTGTGCCGTGAATGATGGTAAATTGAAAAAGCCACCTTCAGGATCCAATTAAAGCGCTCGACCTGGGAAGCTTGGGGGTAGTATGGCGAAGTGGTAATGTGCTTAATTCCCCAGGAGAAACACAAGTTGTAAAAGATCTTAGACCTGAAGACTGGCATTATCAGACACAATCTCTTGGGGGACCCCCAAAAATGGAAAGAACCTTTCTACTAAACAGGTTTTAACTACCTCCGCCGAAATTCGGCGGACCGGGTAAAGACTCACAAATTTGGAAAATCCTTCCAAAATGACTAAAATAGCTATATTCCCCTTTCGACTCCAAATGATTGGCCCAACGAAGTCGATGAAGACTCGCTCCATTGGGCAAGTCATCACCTTACTACTATGGAAACTGACCCGCGTGTCCAGAGGCGGCTTTGACCACTGGCAATCCTGGCACCTCCGTACAAAGGCAGCCACCTCGCTCCTCATCTTGGGCCAATAGTACACCTTCGCGATGCAGTTGAGAGTCTTAATTACCCCCAAATAGGCCTCAAATGAGACTGGTGAAAATACTCATACAGCATCGGCTGTAATAGCTCTGGAAGGAGGTAACGCTTAGCCCTCGCTCTGGACGGTTGGTACACTAAGGTGCCATTCACTAACCTAAATTGTCTTGCCGCCAGGTCCTGCTTAATTACCTTCTGATAAATATCCCTACACAGGGGGTCCTTCTTTTGATATTCAGCGATCGACTAAAAGGCCTTGGGAAGCTGGCCCAAAATCAGGCCTGAATATGTGGTTTCGTCACAGGGTTGTTCGTGCTGTCTCATCAGGCAATCTGCCACCATGTTCTCCTGGCCACTTATATGGGTAGTGCGAAATTTGAATGGCGTTAAGCGGAGGATGCATCATCCAATCCTACCCAACTCCTTTGCGTGGTGTAGCGTGGCTTGTTTTACCACAGTAGCAAAGGAAAATAGTTCCGAAATCGACTCAGGTCGCTTTTGAAAAATGCAGTGGGATTTTATCTTTGGATGAAGATTCTGAACAATACACTGAACTAATGGGGTTCGGTTCCAACGAATTCCAATATTCGTGCTGCCGCAACTACTGACGTAATGTAGTCAGTCAAACCTTCTGATGGAGCTTGGCATTGCTCAAGCAACATGGATGTGAGAAATTGCTCCTTTACATGGTGTGGAAGGAAGGTTGCGATAATTTGTGATTGAACCACCCCCAAACTATTTGTTGTTCCTATATGAGCTGCTATCATCTGCATAACTCTACCAAATGTCCTTGTAATTAGAAATGCCATAATTTCTGAATCAGGTAATAATCTGAGCTCAAGTACTTTACTTGCATGAGTTAGAAATTGTATAATCTGTTCGGGGTCAGTACCCGATAAAGAGGGAATACTAGCAGTCAACTCATTTGCTATTTTGACCTTAATTTTATTTAAGAGGGTTCCTAAATTAGTTACTGGATAAACTACTAATTGCATAGGGTATGTAGCTTGCATGAACTTAGCTGTACTATGCGGAGGCAAATAGGGTTCGATAACGGTCCATTTGTCCTTCACCCACTTTCTCAGGTCATCCAGCCTTCCGTCGCTTGACAGCCCCAATTGACCGGAGAGCTCTTCAAGCTGTTGCTTGGAGAGGTAAATCCAAGTAAGCGGCATGTTGTAATGCATGGAACAAAAACACAGTCGTATATAAATACCATATACTTACACAACGTCAAAGCCCTTGACCAGATAGTTCACAATTTCTATAACTATCCTCTGGTCACTCACTATTACATGAGGCACATCGATCTAAAAGGTCCTAACGCTCTGCTACCATTTCTGCACCATCTCCTTCCTGGTACCTTGCACTTCTCATGTCCAAGACAGGAGTGATGCAACGTCAGGGGCTCTCATGTTATTTTCACAGTGCTCCCTAGATATAGTAGGGACTCCAAGCCACAGCAGGGAGACACTTCCAATTGACAAGACTAGTTCACAATAATAAAATAATTTAATAATAGAAACACAATAAAACAGAATACAACAATTAGAACTTAATAGAAGCCATGGGCCCAAACACATACAACATTGACCACATCTGTCAGTTACTTTACTCTTGCCTTAACTGCGGCATCAGACTACACTTAATAGCCCACACTCACTGCTTATTACTCTTGTTTACAATCATGCTACTTCAGCAGGCACAAAATAACCCTTAACTAATACTTCTTGCCCACAGGCGATTCCTGGGAAAGAAACACAATAACGTAAAGTTTAAAGCCCATCGCTGCCACACAATAACCTATAACGCAAGCAAAATCCCTGATGTGCGTTGGCAGCATACCCGCCAGACATAATTTAGATTACCTTCCGAAACAGAATTTGAAAATACCCCAGGCTGGCAGCGTACGTCCGATACGCTGTGGATCCACGCAGTGAGTGAATCTTGATTCACTGACCGGCTTCTTCCAAGCCATTTGGGGAGGGGGGCAGAGGAAGCGGAATCCCATGTGGTACACTCCAGCACGGGGTGAATGGGTAGGGATTAACATGGCTGGAAGGCATGATGTCATCCAAGAGCTTTCAACATGGCTCAGTGAATGATACATGATGTGTCTAATTGCATAGGAATTTTTGCTTAAAGTAGACTTCTTTCCTTTTTGTGCCCATGTTTTAATTTTAACACTTCGCGGACCAGCGATTTAAATATTTAAATCACCCTGGGGACCGACATTTTTAAACATACTACCCTAACTTGTGCACTGTTCACCTTAAAAATTTATATAAAATATCCTAATTAATTTTTTGAACTAAAATTTTTGGAGAACACTTACTAATGCTGCTAGAAGTGCTTGAAGGTGTGATATTTCTGGAAACATTCCCCTTTGTGAAGTGGCATTACACAGAACTTGCAAAAGTAGACATACTCCTTTTTTTGTGAACTGTGGAAACACGGCATTGCCTAGAAGGATTCTTCCCCTTGGAATGTTCACTCTTCACAATTTTCATGAGGGTATGTTTCCGCATATCACTTGAGAGTTGCCCTGAGGGGTCCACATGAGGCCTTCATGGGGTGGGAGTTGAAGGGCCCAGTCGTACTAAGGCTTTGTGTGACCTTGGTTGTGCCGCCACCATCTGGACTGTAGCCCAGGCCTTTGCCACATTCATCAGAAATGCTTTGTATTTCAATTTTGAATCAGGATTTAGATTTTTTGCTGTCCCCGCAATGTTACTACGCGCAGTGTTATTACCCGCATTATTGTCAGAGCTACTGTCACTCTTACTGTGTGTGGCCACAATTCTTTGTTGTCCCCCCCGTCACTGTCACTGTCTGAATGACAATTAATCCTGCGTCTCACAAGGCAGGTCACCTAGGTCATCGGAGGAGAATTTGTCCTTGATCCATTCTCCCCACTAGCCACTGGCTGATACACACAGCTTGAAGGAGGCAAAGCATTTTCCTTTATAGTCGGTTAAGTAAACAGCAAGGTCAAGTTACTGACTGCTAACTAAACATTCCAGAGTCTTATCACGCATCTGCAGGTGATTGCGTGCAATGTAGATGGCGCCAAAGCGATGTATAGTGTGTTGCAACTTACCATGTTCTAAAAACATATTAATACGCGACCGGTCCGCCACGTTTAAAAGCAAAAAACTTATTAATGTGTGTGTGGTCTGCAAAGTGTTAACAATGGATTTAAAATGTGTGTATATTATTGTGCAATTAAGTTCAACTTACTAATATCAGCACAAAGAAAAACTTAATACAAAGTATGCTGGAGGCCAAAAGTACCTATGTGGTACATATCCTGAGTAAGCAAAAATCAATAACACTGGTCTGTTGCTTCAGCTCACTCCCTGCATGAATCTACTGAAGTTCAACAAGGTGACATGCACACTTCAAGGCCCTCTTCAAGCAAATAGATGCTATATTTGTCTGACTGGAAGATGACATAACCCTCCCCCCCCCCCCCCCCCCCACACAACTNTAATTTCATACAGATATTACAGACAAACATGTAAGATAATAAATATTTAAAACATATGTGAAGTCAGCATTGTCTTCATTATTCCCAGCTTCGTGACCTTCATTGGAATATCTCCCAGTACACAATTAGAGCGTTAGTGATTCTTCAGGCAAACCTGTTACAGTTCATGGCTCCTTATCTTGAAATGTATTTCTATCTCAGTCTTTCCCTCACTTCCTGGGCTGACAACACTGTATGATGTCAATGCTGGCATTTACTGCATTTTATGAACACACCAATAAAAGCCTAAAGCATTCAAAATTTTCACACTTTATTTTATAATTCGAAAGTAAGGAAATTACACGTACACAGTCTTCCATTCGGATAAATATGTTACTAAATGGAGATATGGATTTCACGTGAGGATTCAATTTTCATTCACTAAATGCTGGTAAAGCACTGAATCAGAGGAAGTGAGACGGCTGGGACCACAAAAGATGAACACAAAATGAGGGAATCTCCTAGGCTGAGGAACCTTAAATCAGATTCTTCTGTATGATGTGTATGTTTTCTAGGCTGTGAAGGGAACTCCAGTCTGCCAGGTGGTGAGACAGCCAGAACCTGAACCAGAAGAATTCTCAATTGAAGAGAAAATGGAGTCAGAGGAGGAAATTGTGTGCAATAAAATATCAGAGCTGGTGGATGAGGTAAGTTTAATATTAACATCTAAGTGTAGAGTCTTGGCATTTCCTGGTGTTTTCTATGCTTATTAATTATGTTTCTGAGTCTAGGTTGTTTGGTGAAACGAGATTCAGAATTCATTTGCTGGGTTTCTCATAGCTTCATCTGGTAGTTCATTTTCAGGGTTCTTGTCAGACCTGAGCTACCTTGAAGGTACCAGGGATAAGTTCCTTCTGTATTTTATCCTTACAAGCTTTCCCCTACTTCATCATTTCCCTCCATCTATGATGTGAATGTGAAGTTGGAATTTAGGAGAGGTAGGTGCAGAGGTTTGTTGCTAGACAGCCAAAGGAAGGAGACAGCATGAACTGTTCTTATGTGCATGGACAGCAGGTGAATAATAGAACTTCCTAAATGAAGGTTATTTTGTGAAGAGCTGAATTATGAGGGCTTATGAAAATTCCTTAAAGCAGGAGTTTTCTCCAGTTTGCCCATGTCATGTACTGACAACAGAGAATAGCCTAATGACCTGAGTTCTGTTGCAAACTCCAAAGTTGCAATATAAATGGCTCATAATATGTGGGGGTCAAAAATGCTCTGAATAATCACTGACCATGATAAAAAAAGGAGCAGGAAACATGACAAGTTAAAAGGAGGGGCAAGTCTGGGAATCTTGTGCAACTCACTGCATATGTGTGGCAGCTTCAGCCATGGCTGCAAGTAACACATTGATGCTTTTCATGACACTGTAATAAAACCACCTCTTACTATGCTACAGCTTATACTTGTTGACCGTTAAAAGTGGGGAATTTAATTGTCAATCTATAGCGTGATGTGGGAGCAGTATTTATGGGTATTTTGAATTTTGCTGTAGAGAGTGTAAAAATGATATGTCAAACTTAAATATCTTCCATGGTTTTCTTTCAGTTGGAATGAAATTTTGGATGTTAGTTCCCTACTGACTGTAGATTATATATTTCCGTTTTATGTTACCTCAGAAATTGTTCTTTGCATGGTAGGCCTCAAAACCCCCATTGACACGCAAAGCAACATCTCATTCCTGGCAAAGGTAACTAATATCCCTTCTTTTGTCATTCTTGCTGCAGACTGCACACCATCTTGTTCGCTTAGATTTCTTTTCTGTGGGAGGGACTCTTCAAAGAAAATGCCGTTCTAATCTGTTCACACTGCTGTCCTCACCTTTTTAACCTGCTACTTTATGCTACACGGAAGACTTCACTAGTAAGCACTCAAATCAGGTGCTCTTGAGTTTCAAATGGTGACATGGAGTGGCCTCCTGAACAACTTCATGTACCACTTATTCATCCACTTTCTCTCCATAGGTACATCTGCAGCAGCTGACTGTTCTTATTGACTCCAGCCATGTATTGGTTATAATGAATCACACACATAGACTTTTGTTTTTCTTTTCCTTCGTTTGTTATGGTCTGGAGTTTGTGACATGGTAACTCTAGAGCACAGTTACATTTTTCTTGTCACTTCACTCGAGAACACAAAGAGGACTGTTGTACTACACAATGAACTTGCCCTTCTGTAGTTTTTTCTCTCTTTTAGTTCATTAAGGGCTTTCTTTCTGTTTCTTTTCAAGGTACCTGCAAAATCCAGGTTACATGACTTTAGAAACTTTACTGGACCTGTAGAAGTATAGTGATTATCAAGCCATAATATTGTCACATATTCAGAGTTAGCATGACTAATAATAATGGGTTCTGGATTAGATACAATTTATTTGTGCTTCTTTACAGTTACAGTCAATTATATCAGCTCACACATTGAACTCCTTCAGAAAGCCATTTGTGTGATGAATCCCTATAATGCATCTATGACTCCTGTCTGGATCCTTATCAAAAAATAATTAAAATGTATCAACATCAATTTCACCCTGTGCACTATTTTGAGGTTGAAACAGTCCAGTAAGAACTCTCATAGTCCACTCTTAAGTATCCATAACCTTCCAGAGAAAATCATTGTCAGTCACATGAACACTCTTATCAGTATCATTATTATCACTGTCAGGTAACACCATATCATTTTCACCATGGAATTCACATTCACTAATTTAAGCTGTGTCTGACATTTCACTCTCATAAGTATCTGCCAGTTTTTCTACTAATTCATAATTCCCAAGATTCTGGAAGTTTCGTTGGGAATTAGATCAGTGTTCCGCAACCGGTGTGCCGTCACAAGGTGAAAGGTGTGACGCGAACTTTTACCTATTGTAAGAAATTAATTGTCGAATTTTATTCGTTTTATTTTATCCCAGTTACCGTGTTTCATATGATTGTATTTTATTCTCAGCCACTGCACTGATTAAATAAGATGATGTTTGTTTATTCTTTATTACATGCTGTGATTTTTTATGTACAGTATTGTTGTATTCTAAGAAATTAAATGTAAATTATTTACTCATAGTTGTTGTTATATCATAGTTTTCATTATTGATTTATTTTTCTCGCATCTACGCAGCTTCTTTGATATGCTTGCCACATGTTCTGTGTACGTGCTTTTCCCTAAAACTGCGGGGATTAGCATGGGTTTTCCTGTCTTTTATAACACTGTTTCGGTATTTGTCCCTGTTTGTTAGTAGTTAGAGCTTCTTCAACTTTATGACTTTCTTCCTGTAACAATGCATCCACCGATTGTTGGACTTCATTTAAAATTATAAATATTTAAAAAATAGGTCGGTATAGTATCACTTCTTCTGTTTGAAGAGTAGAGATCCCGCGTTTTACAATTGTTTCAGTTCTATCACAGCTGTGCTCTGAAGTAGTTCACAAATTTTCGTTGCTAGTTAGAGAATTACAGATGGGTCGTTTGAGATGCCCCCAGCTGTATGGCCACTTGCTGACGGCAATAAAGCGGTGATGGACAAAATTAAAGAACATTTAGAAATGCTGCAGCAGAAATTCAGTAAGTATTTTGGAGAGAGTGTACAAGATTTCGACTGGGTTCGTGATCCATTTGTTGTGAATTCAGAACATGTTCCTCTTAGTATATAAGAGGAACCCGCAGATTTAAAAGCAGACAGAACATTTGAACTAAAACTTCTCGAAGTGCCTTTGGATACGTTTTGGTTGGCAATAAGGAGATGTTATTGCCATTTTCAACTACATATTTATGTGTACTGGGCTTCTCGACGTTAACTGAAATTAAGACATCAAAGAGGGAGCGGCTCAAATCCATTGATGAAGAAATGAGACTTGCGTTGTCAACGATTCCACCATGGATCAGTTGCCTGTGCAGCTACGCAGGCGCAAGTATCACATTGAAGGTTTGAATAGAATTACTGTATTTACTTTAATAGTAATAGAAGTATATTTTCTACTCTCTACAATGAATTAAAGTTCATTAATTGCCAATAAATGCACGAGTCGATTTCTGTTTAATGATAATAAAATAACAATATAATAATGTGATGTGTTGCACTATGGAGGACACCCCCTCCCTCCCCAGCAGTGACGTAACATGGGATGCCGCCGTTGCTACTCAGCAGTAAACAACTCCCAACAGCGTTGCTAGGCTGTCGGCAAACACGGCGTCAGACAACAGTGGTGCCTATTACGTAACTGTTTTCTGTGCTGTCCGTAACAGGGCTAAATAAGGAGCAGCGAAGAATATTCAAGTTAGTTATGAGTTAGCCAGCAGTGAGCCAGTCAACCAGTCAGTTGTAGTCAAGCCTTCGCAGGCCAAGTAATTGTAATACTGCAGATAGCAGTAGCTGTGAGATTGTAAACTGTGTGATTGTATGAGCGAATGTGAAATAAAATTCACTATAACTGATAAGGTGTGAAGTTATTTGACGCGTTATACACCCAACATGGGACAATTTGGTGTCAGAAGTGGGATACGAACTTACACACGTGAAAACCACGCAAGATAAAAAGAATGTTCTCACAGCAGGTAATGGAAATGCTGCTCAAGGAAATCAGAGCTGGCCAAGAAAAAGCAAATATGCTGAAAGAGGTAGAAGCCAATAGTAAAGCCAACACAGAGGATATGCTAAAAGAGATAAGGGCCTGGAGAGAAAAGTTGGATGCAGAGATGAGATCATCCCAAGCAAGGACGGCACAACAAGAAGAGGTCGCCATATTGATACTGGTCGAAGAGACGATGGCCTGCCTAGAAATGGAGACACGCCCAGAAGAAGAGCCGGCCTCAGTGGGGGCAGAACTACGAGAGGTACCTGTACAAGATGCTGAAGTAATGCCGGTCGGAGAACCGAAACAAGCGACAAAATATGAAGAATTCCACATGGGATAAGTGTGGACCCCAGAAGAAGTTGGCAGTAGCCCGCAGAGGAACGAGCCGCAAGGGAACGACCCGCCGTGCGAAAATGGAATGGCAGAAGGTAAATGTCGTTGGGAGAAACCGCACCAGGGCCATGATTCAGCGAGCAACCCAGAGAGTAGGGCCGCTCCAGAAGAATTTATGGACACCATGAAGGAAGAAAGGATCAACACGGCAAGGGGCCGCTACACGGGAGTAAGAAGAGGACAACCACGGATGGGTTCGTCTCTTTCGTTGTCTTCCTCATCTTGTTCTTCTGACACGGAGCGTCTTGCCTTCTGAGAGGCTCGAATTTCTCATGAAGTTGTTCCCTTTGCTCCTGCTTTGCACTTGCGTTCAGGGGCCATGCTTCTGCTGCTGACGGATCCATTTCTTTCAGTTCAGGAGCCTGTAAACTCAGTGTCTGTGTGTTTTCGTCTCCTTCAGACACAAAGTTTTCTGCTTCCCCCTGGTTTTCCGCTGCACTCTTCAGGCCCAGCTCCACAGCGTCCACACTGTTCAGCATTGAGCAGTGCGCCTCTCGCTCGTGCAGAGTGTAATCTGAATGGTCGTCCGTTTTACATGTCGCTGTGTGGCTGCCTTCGTTCCTGTAACTGACGCTGTTCCCTTCGCCGGTCTCTGTGCTGTCACCGTCGTCGTCTCGCTGGACTGTTGCCCTTGCCGCTGTCTGTGCTGTCACCGTCGCAGGTCGCTGGGTTGTCGCCCTTGCCACTGTCTA